GGGGCAGGTCCGAGCTGCCMGGGTCACCCAGTTTGCCATCTTCCTGTAGCAACCTGGAGGAATTCAGGGTGAGCGGGAAAGCGCCAGCGGCTGCCGTTGCTCTGTCGCGGCTGTTTCCCTTGTCGGACAGCCCCCGGCCCTGGAGGAACCGACCACCGCCGACTAAGGGGTCTCCTAAMGAAACCCCATTCTCCTCGTCTTCTTCCTCATCGTCCTCGGGGTCTCGACTTTCCTCCTCTTCTTCCTCGCCCTCCAGGGGCTTGTGGCCCTCCACATCCACCTCCTGCTCTTCTTCYTCGTCGTCTTCGTCCTCGGAGCTGTCCTCGCTGGGGTAGCTGCAGCTGGTTCCCCCGGGGGACAGAAGGCCTCGGTGGTGCGACTGCGGAGCCATCGGGGGTGGAGGGGGTGGGGGCGGCGGCGGGGCGGGGTGATGGCGCTCAGATCCTGGCTCGTCGGGCTGCGGGGGTAGCAGCAGCAGCGGCGACGGCGGCTGTGCGGGATGATGGTGGTGGTGRTGGTGTGGGTGGTGATGGTGATGGTGGTGGTGCGCTTGGGCAGAGTGTGGCGCGCCCGCCGACGCCCCATGCAGCTTGGCCAGACTCTCTGCGTCGTCTTTGCCTCCCACCGGCCGGAAGGCGCTCGAATGGTGGTAACTGCCACCGCCCGCCTTGCGCCCCTCCAGGAGGTGTGGATGGTGGGGCGCTGGCACCCGGGCGCCCGCTGGACCAGCGCCGGCGGACACTGCCCCAGCCRCAGACGTTGCGCTGGGGTCTGCCGGCGGCGTGGAACCCGCGCTGCAGTCCCCCCCGCTGCCGCCCGGGGGCGACTCGAAGAGCGTGTCGCGAGTGCTGGCGCCCCCAGCAGGAGGCGGTGGACCGGAGCCCGGGCCATTGGCTACCACCGGAGGAGGCTGACCCGGTGGGGGCGCAGCCTCGGCGCTCGCACCCGCGCCGCCGGGCTCAGCCAAATCCAGGAAGGCCTGGCGCAGCAGGGCTGGGCTGTCACCAAGCGCGCAGCCGAGCGCAGAGGGAGGTTGCGGTGGGGGTTGTAGATAGGTGGGCACTGGAAGCCCGCCGGGGGTCCGCGGTGGCCAGAACATGCAAAAGGGCGGGTAGAAAGCGTCCTTGCGACCGGCGGGCCAGAAAAGACCGGACAAACCGGCCTTGGGCGCTGCACCTGCGCTCCCCGCACCCGCTGCCCCCAAGGCCTCAGCCGCCGCGCCCGAGTCCTCCTTCTTGTGGCACAAGCCAAAGGCCGCGGCTGCGGCCGGAAAGGTGTAAGGATGAGGAAAAAGCCCCCCGCATCCCGGGAACTTCTGAAGCACGCCCCCAAATGAGCCCTTGCTAGGCACCGGGATGACCGGGTAGCTCCGCGGGCCTTTGGCGCCAGCTGCCCCGCCTGTCCCSGCGCCGGCGCCAACGCCAACGCCGGTCACACAGCCACCCCCGGCGCCACCCCCGCCCGCCCCGGCGCCGCCAGAGGCCGCGGCCACCGAGAGACTGGCGGCCGCGGCCGAAAGGCTGGCTGCGGCCACGACGGCTGCCTCTTGCAGGGAATCTTCGTCGTCGTCGAAGCGAGGCCTCTTGTGATGGGCGTGAGGAGCGCCAGCCAGTTCAGCCAGGGGTGGTGGCGGAGGCGGTGGGGGTGGAGCGCCCAGCAGGTGCGGGCCCAGCAGACCACCGCCTCCGGCCACTGCAGCCGCGGCTGCYACAGCGGCTGCCTTGACGGAGCTGAGTGGGTGGCAGGCTGGGTGAGCGCCGGGCTGAGGCAGCGCGCGCTTGCGGCTACCGCCATTGAACATGGCCTTCACATCCTCCCAGGCAAAGACTAGCTCGTCTTGGGGACTCTTGTCGGTGAGCTTGAGATGACGGCGCCACGAATTGAAGTTGGCTGCGTCTGGCTGCGTGTACTTAGCGTCGGGTGTGCGGTGGGAGTGGAAAATAAACTTGTTGGGTGAGAAGTACATGTTACAGTAGCTGCATTTGATGCACTTGGCGCGCGAGCTATTGTAGCGCGCGGGGATGAAGCTGCCTCTGCAACCCCAAGCGCACTCGTGCGACACGTCGAAGGCGAAGTTGTCGGGCAGCTTGGGCGGCCTGTTTTCACCCAGAAACGACTTGCATAGACGCTCGGCTTCGCGCTTGGTGATCATGCCGCAGCGACGCGATGAGATGGGCATGGCCCCTGCGCGCCGCAGTATCTCTAGCTGCACCGGCGTGCACTGCACGCACGTGATGCCCAGCGCCACGCGGCGGTTGTGGATCTCGTTGTAGCTGAAGTTTTTGAGGAGAGTGTTGGAGATCTGCGCCAGGCACAGGCGCTCCTGCCCATCGATCACCAACGACACGATGGGAATGCCGTAGAGGATCACCTGGCCCACCTGGTTGGGTTTGAGGTTGGCGTGGCCTGGCCGCGGCTGGCTCAGTGCGTCGGGCTGGAAGGCGCTGGACGGGGACGCCAGCAAGATGTCGTTGGGCCCCGGAAGCGGGCTGGAAGCCATCTCCTCCGCGGTGGAACCCCGGGCCGAGCCCTCCGGGCTTGCCTTGAAGACTGGAAGGGAAAGGAGAAAAGGTTGTTTTGAGCCTTTTCRTTCTAAACCAGAGGCGTGGGGCGCATCACTTACTGAAAAATTACTGTTAAGACATAATTATTACTAGGCAAGGGACCAAGTTTCAGACGCAGGAAAATCATCTCTTTTAATTTCCTTCAAGGTCGCCCTTTATTAAATGTAGTGATTTGGAGGTAGCAATTTTTCTACTGCCTCCGCCCCCCCACACACACTAAAGCAGTCAGTTCTTAAGAAACTCAAGACCTTATCCCGGATTTATGGAAGCAGTTGGAATAAAATGACTTGCCTGCTAGAAATGAGGAAGTAATGACAATTGTAACTAGTACAGATTATAAAAGTTATGAAACTGAGGCTTGATCGTTAAAACCTAAATTTAAAGAGAGAGACCATTCACATTTGCTTGAAAATGAATTGATTTTGGTTAAAAAGAAATAAACCCAAACCTTTTTAAAAGTGATTTTTGTGGTATCTGTGGTTTCCTTGGGGAAATTCACTACTGGTTGAAATACAGCTCATTTAAGCAAAAACGAAATCCCTTCTACCCGATCCTTGCCATTAGATATTTAGTTACTGTAATTAGAATGTGGGGTGAGGGGTGGGGGAAGAAAGGTGGAAAAATGTACAAAGCCATTCTCATTATCACTAGAATAGAGTGTTTCACTTTTATTTTCCCCCCAAAAAATCCTGTTTGTTGAACTAATTGAGTGGTTCTGGTTCTAGACAGGTAGCTTTAAAAGATGAAGTTGAAGATCTGTAAACATTTAAACTGTTTTCCTTTCATTCCATAACAAGGAGCAAGTAACTTCAGGCCAGCGTGTTAAACCAAGGCTCTGTGCAAAGAAACGGTTCTTGGGTATCTTTATTGGTTACATTTAAAAGGCAAATTCAGTTCGAAGCTAACTACTGTCTGTGACATTTTTTTTTTCCCTCATCTATGTTGATGGCTCTATATCTTTAGGGGGAATTTAGGTGCCCCACAGTAAAGATAATCCCTAGAGTAGGTAATCATGGGAGCTTTGAAAAATGGAGCCTGAGATTAAGTATGAGATAAAATTCCTAATTTCATCTCAGGTCAACAGAATGCCACAATGGGGGAACATATCCCATAAGTTGAAAATATAGAAAAAGCAGGTGAGAGAAAAATTTGTGACATTGATGTTAAGTAAAAACAGGCTAAATGGCATTCCGTAGGAAAACAGTGACCTTTCCAGTGCTAATTGTCCAGTGCATAGGCCAAAAACTACCCTTTGCCCTGGAAAATCATCAGTGAAGGTAGCATGACCACTCTTGACCAAGTACATTGGATTTTGTTATTACAGCTATTTCAGAGGATACACTGTCATACAAATTGTCACACTCCGTGCTCCTTCATGGGCTCCTATGACATCTATACTGCTGCCTTTGCTCCGCTGCCCTGGGGATCCTCAGCTCTCATTACATTCTGTGGCCTCCAGGAAGGCTGAACAAACCTCGTCGCGATCAAACGGGAAGAGAGTCTGACTTGTCACTTTGGTTGGATCAGAGACAATATTGCTAGGGGGCAGGGCGTTAAATGGCAGTTCAAGGCACAGTGATACCTGAGCCTGATACAACCAGCCCCAGCTTCGCCAAATGGCCCTTCAGTGCTCATTTCCCTCCCAAACAAGAGTCCTATTATTTCAGTAAGACCTGGGGATACCTCAAACTCTCACTCCCCAGAAAGGCTCACCCGACCAGGCGGAGAGCTGGCTTTTAGTTTAGGGACCCGCACACTTATCAGCCAGGGCAGAAGTGTCTCCTCCAGAGTGTCTTGCACTCTCACCCCAAAGTGCTCTCAAAAACTCCCGACAGAACAGAGACTCAAATAAGAAGTTTCGGGTTGGGGATATTTTAAGGATTGGGAGAAGAGACATTAAAAGTTACTTGAACTGAGATAGGACCGGCGAACTTCCCTATCCAGCTCACGAGCCACCGACCCCCAACTTAATTCTCCTGGCTCCAAACCCATCCCCATAGAAGCCGGCGGCTGTCCCTCAACCTAACGCGGAAAATTCCACAGCTGGGGATCTCAAATAGAGAACCGCGATCTGTGTGCCCAGTCAGGGCCGGCGGGTTCAGGCAGTACCTGGTCACCCCTAGAAGTCTTTAGGTGCGTGGCTGCCGGCCCATCTTCCGAGGGCGCTCGGAGGCGAAGCATCCAAGCGGGTCCTCGAATCCAGCGGGCGGGACTCCGGCGGGCTCCGCTCGAAGATCCGGGCGCTGGTGCGAGCTAACGGCTCTGGAACCCCGGGTCTGGGAGGATGAAGGCCTGAACTGCAGCGAGGTGTCCCCTCGACCGCAAAAAGTGAGGGCGCGGAAACCTGCGGCAAGCGAGCCCCAAGTGGAGCGCAGTCTGACAGCGCCTTTCTCTGTCTCTGAACTCGTGTCGGACCGAGGGGACGCCACCCAGCGGGCAGGGTGACGTCACCGTCTCCCTGACACTCCACATTAAAGGGCTGGCATGTTACAGGGAGGGAGGGGGAGAGTGAAAGCGAGAGAGAGCAACATAGAGATCCTTTCTTATGCAGGCACGAAAGATACCACCTCACCAACTCGCAATTGACGAAAACCTCCCCAACCCCATAGCAAAACGCCGCAATGGGGCTGGATCGGCAGATCTGATTTAGGAGTGGAAAGCTGAAGGGTCTGCATGCATCCTGGGGACGTGGCTCCTGGAGGCCCTGGATTCTATAAGAACACCTCCAAATCAGCTGTATGCCTGACGTTATTGGCCCCTTCTCATTTCTCCGAGTCACTCTCCTTCATGAATGATTTCTCTGATACATGGTGCAAACAAGTAACCTCTCCTGAAGATATAGAATCTGGGCGAATAGATTAGTTTTACTGCTTCCTTTGAAACACTGTGAAATGAGAAAAAGGAAAGAAGTTTCCACATAGTTGCCAGATCTGAAACTTGGAAGGAAGCATGAACAGTGTTCCCCACTTTTGCATATACATTTGCTTTATAGGGAAAGATACAAAGAATCATACAGCTTTCTCTGTTTTATATAGTGTGTACATTTGGGTGAGGACCCCAGTACAYGCATGTGTACATTCATCCTTTAACTTTGCTTGGAATAGTTCTATAACCCATTTTTTAAGTTCTATGCAGGCTACCTCAGCACAAGGAAAAGGTGGAGTAGAAAATCAGGGAGGTCCCCAACACTTGCTGGTCCCTGAACAATTGTCAATTCCATTGAAAAGAAAATTTTCTAAGAATCATATGCATCTCCCTCCCCTACAAAAGGGGACAACTAGGATGAGAAAGAACCTTTTTCCATAGCTCCCCAAAGTGAGGCACACCCTAGGATATTAATGAAGTGTTGAACCTTACCTCCTAACTGACCAGTTCTTAGGAGTTGAACAACCACTGGCTAAAAGGAAAGAAGCTATTTATTTGAAGGACACTCTAAGAAGTTTACCTTCTGAGATGGGGTGGGGAATCCTTTAAGGTCTTCCTTTACTACCAGAGCTGAATTTTCAATTACTGCCAGATGAAAACACTGGGCAATTACATTGTAGAAATGATGGAACAAACTCCACTAAGCCCAAACCAGACTTGGTCATAGCATCAATATACCTCTGCTAAATAYGAAAGTGTGAAATCTTAGCACTTAATAAAGCCAACTGAACAGAAATGTGAGGGGCATGTTGCTCAGGAGTTGCAGCTTTTAAAAATTAATATCCTGAAAATATTGTTTCAGAGTCGTGAAAATTGTAATGTTTGTTTGGGCAGAAGTTTCAATAGCAGTGGAATAATTTTGTGCTTATCTCCTAGTTTCTAAAGGCATTAATTAGGCACAAATTAGGCTTTGTCCTAAGCAGCTGAAATCAACCCATCTCTCCCTCACCAATGCCCCTAAGGCTCCCATCTTAAAGGAAAGAAAATGTGTTTTCTGCCTGCCCAGCCCATTCCCTAAAAGAGCACCATTATCCTCCTCAAATCCCTTCCTCAGAAAGACTAAAGGCCTGGTGCACTCTTCTGAAGGCTCCAGAGCCAAACCTGGTTCTTCCTCCTTCTCTGCCTCCTCTTTGGGGTCAGGAACTCTCGCAAAGGGAATTTATGGCTTGCTCACTATTCCCAGAGCTCAGGCTGCTAGAAAGAAAGCTTGAGTCTGGAAAGAAAGCCTGGAAGTGGGACAGGTTTTAAGACTGAAAATAGGGAGGAATGAACAATCCTACCCCCTTACTAACACCACAGGGCAATGTCTGGGCATTCTGGAAGGAAGCAGTGTGTGTGTGTGTGTGTGTGTGTGTGTGTGTGTGTGGAGGGGGCTTCTCCTCCTCCTCCTCCTCCTCCTCCTCCTCCTCCTCCTCCTCCTCCTTCTTCATTTCATAGCTCCCATTTTACCCAAAAGGCTTCCTTCTCCTCCCCTAACAGATCCTGACTTAAAACAAAAACACCAAAACAAACCACCATCTTCAGAAATATCTTTCTTTGAAAAGAAAAATGGGCCAAATCTCTGCCTTTCTTCCCAYCCCAGGTTACTCTGAGGAATGAATCCACACCTGGGTGGCACATGTAGTGACCTCCTAACCTAAATCTTTAAGCATARACATTTATACAGTACTCTGGGGACTTATTGTATAGAAGCCTGTAACTTTATTTTAACACAAAACAAGTTTCACAGGAAACAGAAACGTGGAGTATTAAGCAAAAATACGTTTGCACAAATAATTGTAAGAATAGTGCAGTGTTTTATTATCCCCAATGGGCCTGGGGGCCTGTTTAAAAAGTCAGGTCAATTGTATTTTTGGAAGGTGAATGTGGAGAACAGTTGTTCACAGCAGACCCCTGGAGAATCCTCATCTAGACACTGAACTGGAATGTGAAGTTGTTTGTATGTTTGGAATCTGTGAGCAACTCTCTGCCATCCACTGTCTCTTTGACCCTTTGCTTTCTTTACAGTTTG